AGGATAAAGGGCGCTACTGGCATCTGGTGGGTAGAAGCAGGGAATGTTGTTTAACCTGCACAAAATGCCTCCGCCTGTCAAATGGCAAGCATCCCAATGTTAAAATGTCAAGCATGCCAAGGTTGAAAAACTATGCTTTAGACCAGCGGTTCTCAACCTGTGGGTCCTTTGGGGGTCGAACTGATTCAAAACAGTAGCAAAATTATAGTTATGAAGTAGCAACGAAAATAATTTTATGGTTGGGGGGTCACCACAACATGAGGAACTGTATTAAAGGGTCGTGGCATTAGGAAGGTTGAGAACCGCTGATTTGACTATTTTGGCAAATGCTAATTCCCTGCATACTTTTCTTGGGAGGTAATAATGATGCTGTTGTAAGAAGTGGAGATTCCGGGGACAACTCCCTGGATGAGAAGTGTAATGTGACCCTAGTGGGGCAGTTCTACTGTGTTCTTTATCGGGCACTATGAGTCCGATTGAACTTCACAGCCGTGGCTTTGGTTTGGGGCTGACAGTTGCAGCTGTAGATTGCAGTGGTGTGAACCCCCCAGCCGCTCGACAGGAGACAGATGAGGTCTGGTTCTACAGAGAATGCAGCTTTGGAAAACCCACGAGGGCACTTCCATTCTGTCCTACAGAGTCTCCCTGAGTTGAAACCCATGATGGCAGTGGGTTTTGGTTTGGTTAACAAAGCCACACCTCCTAATGGGGCAAAGCAATCCTAAACCAAGATATGTGGACTGGAACACTGACTCGCCAAGTGGTCACAATCAAAACCAACCAAATCAGGATACATTATCTCTTTTTCAAACCTTTTTAATGGTTAAAAATGTTCTATCGTTTTGTCTTGGATTGCCTCTAAATATTAATATAAAAAGAAGGGATTGATGAACATAAATGACTTTAACGAGGACATGTCCTTAAACAAACAAACCACAACAAAATAATTGTGGCTTTTAACTTACTGGCGCTGTGTTTTCAACTGTCTGTCTCAAGTGTAAAATGTAGCACCCCACCCCCACCCCCGCCCCATTGTACTGTTGTCAGGTTTTCCTGAGTCAGGCGTTCAGAACAGGGCTGTGTAAGTCTGTAACATTCCCAGAATTCTACATTCCATTGTTTTCATTCCCTTCTTCCAGGAACTTCGGGAAGGCTCCTCGTAAGTCCTGCTGCACTCTGCTTTCCCACCATCTTGATGAGGAAGGTAAGGCAGAGGGCACCGCGGCGCCTAGGCTTGAACCGAGGTCAGTTGACACCAAAACTCACTCACAGCCTCCGCTTCTAGCCATTTTCTCCTCCCAGAGTTTTCCGGAAAAGGAGCTCAGCCACTCAAGCTCGTCCTGGTGGGCCCAGGTTTTGGATTAGGAGCTTGTGTTGAACGGCAGGAAGTTTAGGGGGAAAGGGTGGTCCCCTAAGGCCAAGTAAACAAAGAACAGCTAGCCATGCCCATCAATGAAAATGTTCTTCCTAAAAACCAGGCGCTCATTAGAAGGCTATGGGAAGAGAGAGGCATGCGCAGTGAAGGGCCCCACACTTGGGGCCTGTGTAGTAAAGAACCCAAAGGTAGAGCGTGCGCAGTAAGGACCAATCGTGCCACGTGCACTCTTGGACAGGCCCCCTCAAAGCTGGGGAACCTGCAGTAAGAGCCTGCCATGCTGTACAGCATACACATCCACTAAGAATCCACCCATCCACAAACCACGCCTCCCAAATGGATGTGGGAGGAGCCCAGTGGGTGGGGTGGGGGCGCAGGGCACAAAAGCCAAGACACGCCTCAAGCCACTCTCTTCAACGCCACCTCCACCTTCTTCCCTTATTTCTCCCACTTTCTCCCCTTTGTTTCCACCACCCTTCCTTTCCTGGTCTTCCCACTCGGCCCACCTTGCCCTTTGGAGATGGCCCATGCTTGTCTGTGAGACTAGACTATCAAAATCTTTGTTTCCACTCATAAAAGTTTACTTTGACTCACAACCGTGCTTCTGCCGTGTGAATTCTTTCTCCGTAGAGAAGCTCGAACTGAGGAAAAGCGGTGTTGCCTTCTTTTATTGGGTCCCCTGTCCACCCTTCCCCTGCTCCTGGATAGAGGACATGGCAACTGAGCAGGAGGAGGTGGGGCTGAGTGCCAGGTGCTACAGGTAAAGCAGGAGGGCAGGTTCCAGGCCGACTGGGGGAGCTGTCCCAGGAAGCCACGCAGAAGCACAAGAATCAGACCCAACTCAGAGCCGATGGCTCAGGAGACCTTTCCCCAGACGTGCCTGGCGCTGCCAGGACTTTGAGTCATCTGTTCTCTACTGCATGTGATGGTTTTTATTCTATTTCATGTTTTCTTTTTAATGCTATGTTCACAAGTTTCTGTTTTTAAAACAGAAACTTAATGTAAAAGTTAACAGATCCTTAATGTCATGTGAGAAAATGGCTTGAAGGGTGGCCTATCTGACCTCCTCTGGCTTCCCCACTGGCCTCAGAGCTCACACACTTCCACCCTCCATTCTAACCCAGCCACACCTCCCGCCACCCTCCACTTCTGCTAGTTTGAGAACTCATTGCAATGGGCACACACTTCACAGACAATTCTTAGGATTAAGGAGGTTTATTGGGGAAATTGGGAGCTCTAGTGGTGCAGGGGTAACATGTTGGGCTGCTAACCTCAAGGGCGGCAGTTCAAAACCACCAGCCACTCTGCAGGAGACAGATGGAGCTTTCTACTCCTAGAAAGAGTCATGGAAACTCACAAGGGGCAGTCTACTCTTTCCTACAGGGTCGCTATGAGCCGGCACAGACTCATTGGCAGCAAGTTTGAGCTCTTTTTGAGTATTAGGGGAATTAATAAGTAAACATCAGTAAATGGTAAGGATACAGTCCTTGGTCCACAGCAGTGCCTTTCCTCAGGAACCGGGTCTCTTTCCAGGCCTCAGCCTCTCCGCCACGTGGTTCCTTGGCCTATGCCTCCCTGGGCCAGGAAGCCAGTCGGGTGCTCCTCTGTAGGATTTCTTGTCTCCTTGCCTCAGCGTCTGGTGTCTCCTTTCATTCCATGACATCATCAAACCAAACATTCCTCTATTCTTCAAGCTGCCAATTATCCCACATGTTATATTTCTTTTTGATAGTTTGATACCCTTCTCTTTTCACTGTCTATTACAGTGCCTGAAACGGGGGGTGGTGGTGGGGGGGGGGGGGTGGGGCATGGCTGACCTCTGCAAGCAACTTGTGTAATTTAAGGGTTTTTAGTCGACACATTACAACTCAGAAACCAACAAAACCAAAACAAAAAAACTAACCAAACTCACTGCTGTCGAGTCGATTCGGACTCATAGGACAGTAGAACCGCCCTTCTGGATTTCCGAGGGAGCAAAAAACCTCATCTTTCTCTTGGGAGCAGAGAGTGGGTTTGAACTACTAACCCTGTGGTTAGCAGCTCAATTCAAAACCCCGATGCTATACCCTGCCTGATCCTGCACAACCCTCACAATTGTAATTGTGCGTGAGTCCATTGTTGCAGCCACTCGTCAAACGTTGTCCTCATTCCTGCTGACCGTCCACTTTACCAAGCACAGTGACTTTTCCCATGGACTGATTCCTCCCCACATGGCCATGGTATGCAAGAGGAAGTCTCTCCACTCTCCCTTTTGTGGGGTGTGTGTGGGAGAGTAAGACATCTCTTTAATTACAGTTTGAAAAAAATAAACTGACCTAAAGCTTCACCTGCCCAAATTAGTGTCCTTTCAACGTGTAATTAATATAAAGATTAGAAATGTGTTGCACACCCACACATGTCATCAGTCTAAAGCTCATGAAAGAGATGCCTTACCTAAAAAAGATCACTCATCAATGTCATGGAATTGCATGGGTACAAAGTGTGGCCAGATACGGGTGTGGTTGTGGATATTGACACCACAAATCCAACAAGCAGTCACAATTGACCATTTCACAAGCCATAGGTCAAGTGTATTTTTAAAAGACTTAAAGCCTTAGTGGTCAGCTACTTTGGTTTGGCTTGTCTTGGGCAGAGGTAACCCTGGTATTAGAGAAGATTTACAAGGGGAAGATAATTGGTTGGGCATTGGCACCAGATAGCGGAAGAAATCCTATTAGGCCCTGAAGATGCAATTCCAGAAGATTCTGATGCATTCTCAAGTTTGAGAGCCCCTGGCTGCAGGTCAGTGGTTGGAAATCGCCACCAGCTACTCTGTGGGAGAAAGATGTGGCAGTCAGCTTCCTAAGACTCATGAAACTTTACAGGGCCGTTCTCCTCGGCCATACTTGAGTTAGAATCAACTTGCCAGAGTGGATCTGGTTTGACTTCTTACATGGTAAATGAGGAGCTGATGCCAGGGGCTTAAGTGGAGAGCAAATGTTTTGAGAATGATTGAGGGCAATGAATGTACAAATGTGCTTTACATAATTGATGTCTGTATGGATGGTGATAAGAGTCCTATGAGCTCCTAATAAAACGATTTAAAAAAAGAGAAAGAAAATGTAAACAGTCAATACCGCTGCAGAGATGGGTGGTAGGTTGATCATGAAAGTCTTAAGGTTGTTGGGTGTCCTTGCGTCAGAATAATAGTCATAGCGACCCTAGGACCGAATGTTTGAAACACTATGGTGAAGCGTTCGGCTGCTAACCTCAAGGTCAGCAGTTCAAAACCACCAGCCCCTACAGCGGAGACAGACAAGGCTGTCAACTCCCGAAAGAGTTGCCGTCTCGGAAACCCCTAGGGGAAGTTTTCTGTTTCTAAGGTCACTGCGAGTGGGAATGAACCTCTGGTAGGTTAAACACAAAGGCAGCAGGAACAGCCCCTGGCCGATTCTCCCAACTGCCACAACCTCTGCTGCCACTTCCTCCTCCCTTACCAGGCTCCGCCCACGGCGCCCGCTGATTGGTGAAGTCTCGCAGACACACCACTCATCACGGAGAGCGTGAACGGAGAGGGCGGGCGAGAGCTATGAGCCTATGGGCGCACACGCTGCCTCGAGTGGGCGGAGCCACGCATGCGCAAGGGAGAGGCGCGCCTCCGGCGGCCGTTGGAAAATGGCGACGGTCGCCGAGCTGAAGGCTGGTGAGTCTGACTTACCGGGGCGGCTTTCCGGGTGGGAAGCAGCAAGCCTTCCGCCTGTAAAAGACCAGGAGGGAAGGAGAGTGCGCGGAACGCGGCTTCCGCCTCTGGCGTCCTCTCTGAGCAGTCAGGGAGTGTGGCTCGGCCACCGGTTGTGGCCCCGACGGGGCTGGGGACGCGGCGGGCAGTGGTCGCACAAGAGCAGGTTTTATGCGGGGTTTGTGGTAAGGAGGACGCTCAGAATGGGCCCGTCCTGGGCTTGTTGTTGGCCGGCCCAGGGCTTGTTGCTGTTGGGTGCCATCGGGTCGGTTCCGACCCATAGCGACCCTGTGCCCAGCAGGAGGACACACTGCCTGGTCCTGCACCGTCCTCACAGTTATTCCTATGCCCGAGCGCATTGATGTAGCCACCGTGCCCATCCACCTCGTCCCCTTTCACGCCGCCCCTCACTTTACCAAGCTTGATGTCCTTCTCCAGGGACTGGCCGCTCCTGACAGCGTGTCCAACGTATGTAAGACAAAAATCCTCACCATCTTTCCCCTAAGGGAATGACAGCCCACGATACTTTCAGTATTCTTCTCCGGCACCACAACTCAAATGCATCGATTCTTCTTCCGTCTTCTTTAGCCAGTGTCCAACTTTCACATGCATATGAAACAGTGGAAGATACCATGGCTGGAGTCAGGCGCACCTTATTCCTCAAAGTAACACCCTTCTCAATATTCCTAGGAGGTCATGAACAGCAGATTTACCTAATGCAACTTATTGATTGCTCGTCCATGAGCATTGCTTGTAGATCAAAGCAAGACAAAATTCTTGATAACTTCAAACTTTTCTCCACTGATCATGATGCTACCTATTGGTCCAATTGTGAGGAGTGTGGTCTTCATTGCATTGTATCATAATCCATACTGCAGGCTGCAACCCTTGATCTCTATCAGCAAGTGCTTCAAGTCCTCACTTTGAGCAAGCAAGGTTGTGTCACCTGCATATCGCAGGTTGCTAATAATAATTATAAAAAGAATAAGAAACCTTCCTCCAACCCGGATCCACAGTCTTCTTCATATAATCCAGCTTCTCCGATGATTTGCTCAGCATACAGATTGAAGAAGGATGGTGAGAGGATACAACTCTTACATACCTTTCCTGATTGTAAGCCATGCAGTATGTCCCTGTTCTGTTGAAACGACTGCCTCTTGATCCATGCGCAAGTTCTGCACAAGCTCAATGAAATCTTCTGGAATTCCCATTCTTCTCAAGGTTGTTATGACCCACACAGTTGAATACCTTGGCATAGTCAGGAGTCTAGTCCTGGCCTTTCTTACGCACCCCTTCCCTCAACCGAGAGTCAGCAAGTAAAATACCAAAAAGTCAATGCATGTCACCCAAAATTGAGACTGCACTACATGCCCTGCATTTCTTTTTTGCTACTCCTGGCAGTCCTCGGCCGGACTCTGAATGGGTACTTGGGTGAGGGGGACTGACAAGGTTCTCCCAGAGGTCCCCTGCCAGGGGAGGTGATAAGCAGTCATGACTGTGGACGGAGATAGTATCACTTGAGTGCTCATCCCATCATTGACATTTTTGGCAGGTCACTTCCCTGCTTGGGCTGCATCTCTGAGCCCCACCCATGAGATCTCAGTGTTATCCCTTACCTCGTGTGACAACCCAAAATGTCCCCAGACTTTACCAGACATGCCCCTGGGTAGGATAGTCGCCTCTGGTGGAGGACCATTGGCTTAGAGACTCAGCGACCTCAGAGCCATGGCCAGACCTGGCTGCTTCCAGGAAGGCTTTTGAGCTCTTGGTGAAACAGTGAACTGTGCCCTGAGTTTCTGCCTGCTTTTACATCTGGGTGCCTTGCCAGGCCCCGGGTTTTGGAAGATCCTTTTTGTAAAATGTGGTGTTGGTGATGATTGTAGTGTGGGTACACCGCCATCAGGGGTGTTAGACCCACACCTCAGTGCTTTCCGTGGTTATCCAGTGCTGAACCAATAAAACAGCCTAGCAGGAGCATCTCTCTGCCTTTCAACCCAGGGAAAGGAGGCAGAAAACGCCCTCGCCTAGACATTTTTTTGTCTGCGACAGGATAAGTCCCTCAAAGCTGTTGTATACTCGTCATTACACTGGTAGCATTTGTACAGTGTCATCCAGGAGGCAGATGCCCAGGCAAATAATAAGTAATGGCAGCGAGCCCCGGTAATTGCACTCTTGACCGCAAGGTTGGCAAGTGGAGGGCGTCTGCCTCCGCCAAGCTTTGCAGTCCTGGAACGCCCCCATGGTGCCTGTGGTTCTGCTCTGCCCCGTAGGGTGGTCGTGAGTAAGGGTTTGCTCTCCACAGGGAGCCCCCGTGGCACAGGGCTTACGTCCTTGGCTGCCAACCCAGAAGCCTGTGGTTGGAACCCCCCAGCTGCTCGGAGGGAGATGTGGCAGCCCCCCTCTGTAAGGATTACAGCTAGGAAGCCCTCTGGCACAACTTGACGCTGGCTAGCAGGGTCACTATGATTTGATGTTGCCTCAATGGCAATGGTTTAATGTTGCACATGCAATGCCTAAATTAGTTTTTAATCAGTCTGTGCAATTAATGATGCCCATCTCTTAGAGTAGGACAATTAGGCACCAAGAAGTGAAAAGGCTTATGTATAATTGAGTTAAGAGGCAGAGTCTAGGAATCTAGGTATGAGGGGCCAGAGCCCTCAGCCTAACCACTAAGCCATATTACTACCCAGTGAATACAACTGGTTCCCATAGAAGTTAGGGTGTAAATCAGTAATTTTAGACAGATTTTGGGATGGAGAGGAGGTTGAGCCTCTTTGAGAATATGATTCAGCTATCATCGATAGAATTCTGTAGTTGATGCACTGGGCTGCTGACCAGTGATAATAAAGGCACACATCTGTCCATGAACACACTGAGCATTGGATTGGTTTCCTCTCTCCGGGACAATGCAGACTGTATGCCAGACTACATAGCTTTCAGAGCATGTGAAGATCCTTTGTGGGGGATAAGCCAGCCGAAGAACCCTCCCTGAACCATTGTTATACCACAGTATTGTAAGCAGCATTAGCAGAGAGAAGGGCACACAGACCTGGAATGTCAGAAGGAGGCCTACGTCTTGGGGCACATGAGTGCCCTTCACAGGCTTATCGGCCCTTTACTTTTCTGTCTGTCTTTCTGTGAAAGGAAAGGGGGACGCTTTTCTTTGGTTGATCAAGCAAGGAGGAAGTTGGGACTAGAGGTGCTACGGCAGTGGTCTCAACCTGAGGGTCGTGACCCTTTGGGGGTCAAAACAACCCTTTCACAGGGGTCACCCGATTCATAACAGTAGCAAAATTATAGTTATGAAGTAGCAACAAGAATAATTTTATGGTTGGGGTCACCACAACAGGAGGAACTGTATGTAAGGGTGGTGGCTTTAGGAAGGTTGAGAACCACTGTGCTAATGTAACACACCCCAAAAAAGGGGGTGGTTTACAGTTTTATTCATGTCTATCCGGAAGTAGATTGAGGGGACTAGGGGTATGTAACAGATACGTTACAGAAGTGGTCATGAATATGCATTAGGGCAGGGTGATGCCTCTTGACAGGATATGACTTATCAGACCCCTCACTTTCAAATGTCTTTTGTAAACAGTTTTATTGGCACTTCGTCCACATGTCAGATAATCAAAGAGTCAGTCATGTCAAGAAGAGTCGTCCAGTCGCGACGCAGTCCGTTCTAGTCCGATGTCTTCGGCGTTGGTCTGATGGCGGCTTTCCTGGGACTCCTGGTTCCTCCACCAAAGCACTTTTGTGCGGAGGTGGCCTGTGCTCGCTGCGCGCGCGCAGCGGGACCTCCTGATCTTTGCTTGCCCCAGTTCTGAGTGTGCTCTGCGCCCAGGAGAAGCCCGTGAGAACTCGTTTGCTAACCAGGTATCCCGCACTGTGTGTTGTGTACCTTGTGTACACAACTTCCTGCCTCGTGTTACTGTGCCCCTGAAAGGTGGCACTCATTGCACCGACGGAGGCATCGCGGGGGTGGGGGGTGGGCCGCTGGCCCGGTAGGGGCTGTGCACTGAGGCGCCGAGGGAGCAGGCCGGTCTCTGGGCTCCCGCTTCAGTCGGTGCCCTTTCCCCGAGGCGTCGCAGACCGGCGTGTGCAGTGAGCTCCTTGCCAGTACGAAAGCTCTCCCTTCCACTTCCAAAGATGGTCTTAGAGAACAGGGCTGCAGTTAGGAGGGTAGGTGTCTGGGGAAGCTTTACCTTTCTTTGACGGGCCTGTGACAAAGTGTGATTGCGTGGTAACAAAATGTTGACAGGAGGATTTAAAACCAGAGAAAATGAAAAAGTCCAGTTTAGATACATGGCTTAAAACCCCTCCCCGCCCCCTCCAAAAATTTTTTCCGCTTATCAGAGCTTAAAAACTTCTTTGGTTATATCCATGCCCACGTGGATAAGCCCTTGGGCTCCCTTTACAATTTTCATTTCTATGGAGTACTATATTTTAGGGCTGTTAATACAGAATAATATTAAAATATAAAAATATTTCATCAATAGTATACTGCATAGTATTATACTTTCCCTAGGTAACTTTTTTGTTTAAAAAAAATTTTTTAAACAATTTTATTGGCACACCATCCACATAACATACAACTCAATATTTTAATCATAACTAGAAGAGTTGTACAATTATTATCACAATAAATTTTACATTTTCTTCTTTTGTTTTTATTAATCATTTCATTGGGGGGGGAGCTTACAAATCTTATTGACAACCCATCGTTCAATTGTGTTAAGCACACTTGTGCACATGTTGCCATCCACACTTCCAGAACATCTTCTCTCTACTTGAACCCCTGGTATCAGCTCCTCTTTTGCCCGCCCTCCTCCTCCCTTCCACCCTCATGAACCCTTGATCAATTATATATTATTATTGTTATTTCGTACCTTGCACTGCCCCTTGTCTCCCTTCACCCACATCTCTGATTCGGCCCCTAGGGGGTGGGTAGATATCCACCCTTGTGATGAGACCCCCTTGAGCTCGTGTCATGTGCCAAGCACTGCCAGTGAAATGCACTGGTCCTCGGGGGCGTCTTGTTTAATCATTAAGGGGTGCCGGAAGACGGCAGGTTCCAGACCACAGTGAGGGTTGGTACCAATTCAGCCCCAGGTTCTCACCATCTGTACAAGCCAAACACTGAACCAAACTCATAGCAACCGTACAGGATAGAGTAGAACTGCCCCCATGGGTTTCTGAGATGTCAGATTTTTACAGGAGCACAAAGCCTCGTCTTTCTTCCCAGGGAGCAGCTGGTGGGGTCAAACTGCTGACTTTGCTGTTAGCAGCCCGGCGGATAACCCCTACCTCACCAGGGCTTCTGACTAGCACTTACAGTTACTGATCATGAAAATGGTGTCCTGTCTCATCACGAGAAGTTAGGTTACATTCCATGTACATATCCCTTAGTCTTTAAAATGAAATCTATAAAGATGCCTTTTTAAGATGCACCACGTGACTGTCCACCAGTTTCATGCTGTGGTGGCGTGGGTGCTGCTCGAATGTTGGAAGCAGGGTCACCCATAGTGGATAGATTTCTCCGAAGCTTCCAGACGAAGACACGCTAGGAAGATAGGCCTAGCAACCTGCTTCTGAGAACCGTAGGGCTCACAGTGGGAGACTGGCTCATTTAGCTGTGAAGACCAGCCCCGTGGGTTGGACACACTCAATACACAGTGGCTGCAGCAGTGAACTTGCGAAGAGGGTGCGGCTGGCCGGGCTTTTGTTCTATTGTAAGTGGAGTTGCTGTGAGTCAGAGCCTACTCAGTGTTATCCAAGAACTCGGAATATGATTTTATATCATTTCCAACTACGTTTCGATAACATTTTCAAATCCTGCTATTTTAAAGACGACTAGTAAATTGTCTTAAAACAAACAAAAACAACTTCTGACTGCCATTGAGCCAGTTCCAATGCATACTGACCCTGTAGGACAGGGGAGAGCTGTCCCTGTGGGTTTCCGAGACCGCAGGTCTTTACAGGAGGAGAAAGCCTCATCTTGGCCTGCAGAGAGGCCGGGGCTTTCAAACTGCTGGCCAGCCATGTGCTTAACAGCCCAAGGCGTGACCATTCTGCCACTAGGCTCCTTTCCGGATAGATAGATTGTGTGATTGAAGCATTCATGTTGTGATATTTTGCATTTTACAGTTTTAAAGGACACCTTAGAAAAAAAAGGTGTATTGGGGCATTTAAAAGCAAGAATCCGAGCTGAGGTTTTTAAAGCTCTAGATGATGAACGTGAACCGCGACCACCATTGTCTCATGAAAACCTTCTAATTAATGAGTTAATTCGGGAGTATTTGGAATTCAACAAATATAAGTATACCTCGTCTGTCCTGGTAGCAGGTAAGTTTATATTGCGTGAGTCAAACTGCCTCTCGTCCCTACCCTGCCTCTCAGTCACTGATTCAGCTGGACACCGAATCTCATTATCAGTCAGCACCATTTGAGGGCATGGGACCTAAACGTCTTATGGCTTCTCTATGTCGTTTGAAGGAGACCTTGTGAGACTTAGTACAATAGTGGAAAATGAAATCAGTAAACTAGATATACTTTGAAAAACAAGTTTGTAATTCTTGACGTTGCAATAACACTTGTTGACATTTTGTCTCTTTGTTGCCACTTCTTTTTCCTCTATGTATTATGCTTTAAAAATGCATGTATATGCTCTCAGATACGATGCTTATGTTCCTTTTGAATAGATAGAAAACATTGGAGACGAAGCCTCCGAATATTATCGTGTATAGGTTGGGGACAGACAAAGGAGTTTCAAAAAGCTCATGGAAAAATGGAATTGTAAGATAATGGATTTTTCCATGGACTTTGTGAAGCTCCTTTGTTTACATATTGTAGATAGGTATGGTATTGTAAATGTACTAGAAAGGTTTATTATGAGTTTAAAAAAAATTGTGATCAAGTTGATGCTGACTCATAGTGACCCTGTAGGAGAGAGGAGAACTGCCCCCGATGGATTTCCGACACTGTAACTCTTCTTCGCAGGAATAGAAAGCTTCCTTTTTCTCCCACAGAGTGGCTGGTCGTTTTGAACTACTGACCTCGCAGTTAGCAGCCCAAAGGGTTTGACTTTGCACTCATGGGAGAGACAGACATGGTATTGGACGAGGAGATGAGCACTTACAGAGAAATGTATCTGTTAAATCTTTTCTAAAAGCACATATCATTCTCTTGAATCTAACAGTTATTAATTCCAGTAGTAAGAAGATGGGCTTTATTACCAAATTTTTTTTGCTAGCTTTTAAATGTCTTCCTCCGAAAATGGGGAGGATACAGGAAGGATATACATAGTAGCCAAGGATGTGCTTGCTATGAGAGGGCCGGTCCAGTATCTTGCATGCACATCATTGCTCTTGTTTGCGGTTTCATTTATGCTCTGAGACTGTTTCTTGCCTTGGAGAGCTCTATCGACCTCATCAAAGAGAAGAGGCTGTGAAGTAGATTTGGGGAAAAAGAATGAATTCTTTATCTGCAAGGCTAGAACTTTCCACTGTGTATCCTTCATTTAATATTTGGTATGCATCTTAACTGAATAAAGACTAACGAGTCAATTGGTTTAAGAATCTTCAATATTATGAGGGAGGGGAAAAAATGAGGAGCTGATACCAAGGGCTCAAGTACAAAGAAAATGCTCTGAAAATGATGATGGCAGCATATGTACAAATGTGCTTGACACAATGGGTGGATGGATGGATTGTGATAAGAGTTGTACAAAATGATTTATAAAATAAAATAAAAAGAATCTTCAATATCAGTGACTCCACTTGCTTTGTTTTAGTTGCTGATATATTAGCAGTTATATTCAGAAATGGAGGAAAATTAAGGAAATATCAATTAAGACTCTTGGACTCCGGCTTTCCTAGTGGTAGTGGGCAGTAGTCAAAACTTTATATTACATGTTTCACTTAATCTCACTTTTAGAATTATTGCTACTGAATGCATATTTTTCTCAAAACAAGTTATTGGTTCTCTTTTTTATTTTACTGACTCCTAGAAAACACACTTAAAATCGGTATTTTAGTTTAGACATAGGCATAGTATATCTCCTAGCCCAAAATATAAGGATTTTAAAAATGAGATTATCTTGAACAGTAATAGCTTGTATATTTTGCAAAATAGACATTTTGAAAATCATAAACCATACACAGTTGGATCCACCTTGATTTGTGCTATCATCGTTCTTCTAAAACCTAAAAATGTGTATGCATTGTCAATATGTATACACATTGTATATACATTATATGTACCATGTATATACATTGTAAATGTGTTTCTTATTGAGTTGTATTTACATTGTATATTAATTAATGAAGACTTTGTTAACTTTCCCTTCAGAATCTGGTCAACCTGTCGTTCCACTGGACAGACAATTTCTCATCCATGAGTTGAACTTATTCGAAGAACCAAAGGGTAACACAGTGTAAGAAATTGTTTTCTGCTTTGTTTGTTTTCTCTTTTCAAAATGGGGTTCAGATATGATTGTTTTGGAGTCAGTTCTTTCTGTTTAAATCACCTGGGTGTATTCTAGTGCATGTCAATCACTTGGTGGTGTAAGCAGTTAACACGCTCCACTGCTAACCTCAAGGCTGGAGGTTCAGGACTACCCAGAGGCACCCTGGAAGAAAGACCTGGCAGTGTAATCCCACAGAAGCAGCCTTTGGACACCTTATGGAGCTCACTTCAACTCTCACCCTCACGAGGTCTTCAGAAACCTACTCCATGGAAGTGGGTCGGTGGTAATATAATGAGACGCGCACAGAGCTGGAGGCAGAAAACCCAAGAAGAACACACTCAGCATGTCTTACACTGAAAGAACTCACTGAAAAAGTCCAGCCCTAGTTGGAATATTGAAAGATTCCACGGGAAAAATATTGACTGATGCAGGAAACATCCAAAGAAGATAGAGTACACAGCCACCGTGCCAGAAAGAGCCGGTTGGCCTCCCCCGTTTCAGGAGTAGCAGATGAGCAGGAGCCCGTGGTGCTGGAGGTGGAAGTTCAAACTGCACTGAGAGCATTAGCCAAGAACAAGGGTCCAGGAATTGGTGGGATACTGACGGAAAGGCTTCGACAAGCTGATGAAAGCACTCCCTCGTCTATGCCAAGAAATTTGGAAGACAGCTTCTTAGCCAATTGACCGGGCAGGATTCCTAGCTGCACCCATTCCAGGGAAAGGTCAATCCAACAGAATGCACTAAGTACCATAGTCTCACATGCAAGTGAAATTTTACTGAGGATCATTTAACAATGATTGCAGCAGCACGTTGGGTTCAGGCCAGATTCAGAAAGGGACGTTGAACAAAGGACATCATTGCTGCTGCCACGTGGCTCTTGACTGAAACAAAAGACTACCACCAAGATTTCTACTTATGTTTTATTGACTGTGCAAAGGTATTTACTGTGTGGATCATAACAGACTGTGAATAGCCCTGAGAAGAATGAGAGTTACAGAACACTTTGTTGTGCTCATTCAGAACCTGTTCGTGTATTAAGTGGAAGTTGTGTGAGCAGAACAAGGGAGTGCCACACGGTTCAACGTCAGGGAAGTACCAGTATGTATCAGGGTGGTATCTCCTCTCACCATACTTACTCAGTCTGTATGCTGAGCAACAGAGAAGCTGGATTATGTGAAGGAAAATGCACGATCCAGATTGGAGGAAAGTAGTAACAACCTGCTACATGCATCAGGTACAACCTTGCTTGATTAAGTGACTTGAAGCACTTGCTGAGGAAGATCAAGGATTGCACCCTGTAGTATGGATCCCACGTCAATGTAAGGAAGACTAAAACCATCACAACTAAACCAATAAGTAACATGATAAATGGGGGAAACTGACGTTGCTTAGATCTATAAGCGGTGCCCAAGTAAGAAATCAAAAGATGAGTTTCAACGGGTAATCTGTTTTGCAAGACCTCTTTAGAGTATTAAAAAGCAAGGATGTTACTTTGAGGACCAAAGGGTGCCCGGCTGAAGCCATGGTCTTCTCCATGGCCTCGTGTGCATGTGAGAGTTGGACACTGAATAAAGAAGACCAAAGGAAGCCCCATGCATTTGAGTTCTGGCGCTGGAGAAGAATGGTGACAGTACCCCAGCCTGCAAACAGATCTGTCTGGGAAGAAGTATGGCCCGAGGGCTCCGTGAAGGCAAGGATTGTGAGAGTGTGCCACATACTCGGACATGTTCCAGAGACGGCCATCAGGTGTGGTGCAGTAGAGCAGCAGTGGCAAAGGGCCTTGAGGAGATGAATGGACGACCCCGGGGCTGCAGCAGTGGGCTCAAGAATAGGAACCCTTGTGAGGCGGACGCAGGACCGGGCCGGCGGGTTTTGTTCTGTGTGCATCAGGTCGCTGTGGGTCGGCACGATGACTGACCTCTACCAGCAGCACTGGATGTCAGCAACTGCAGCGAGAGGCGAGGCTTGCCCTCCCGGAACTCGAGTTTCCATGGCTGCAGAGGACCAAGGGTGTCCGCTTCTCCCTAATGACAACCCCGTTCCCTTTTCATCTGTCAGGTATTTTCTTCCTTGGGGGGGTCTGTTCTCTTGATTGTTTGCTTCCTTACACGTCGCTCTTAGCACAGCTTCCTTCTGTAGCTCCCCTCTCCCTCTCCTGAGAAGACTTGTTAACTCTTTCCCCCAGCCATCGCCTGATCTCCTTCTTGCTACCGTATATACGTGAGTATAAGCCGACCCGAAGATCAGCCGAGGCACCTAATTTTACCACAAAAGTGGCATTAAAATGCGCTGAAAAACTCGGCTTGTCCACGAGGATATACGGTACTTAATAAAAATTCGCTCCCTTCTTTCATTTTATTATTTCCCTCTCATATCCTCCCCGCATTTTAAATTCTTCCTCGCCACACACACTGAAACTGGATTCTTAGTGAGATGGTGACACCGCCTATTGACTTCTCGGGCTGTTTCTGCTTCAGTGCTTCTTACCTGCCCAGAGGATCCCGGAATGGCGAAACAACAAACACAATGAGAGCGGGGCCCTAGCTCAAAGCAGCCTCTCCCTAACAATTTGTCTTGAAATCATATGCTTATCTTTTTTTCTTTCCAAGATAGGAGTCTTTTTTCCTTCTATCGTATGTGTTTGTTTTCCCATTCAGAACATATTTTAAACTCTATGTTAGTTAACTTTAAATCCCTCCCAATTGCTTGTGGGAAATTAATTTTCAGGATCCTGAACCACGTTTATCCTGAACGTTGCACCACCCAGCAGCAGCAGCGGCAGCGGAGAGAGACGGGCTTTTCGCGTGGGAGAGGCCGCTTTCAGCTGGGTGGTGGCAGCGCGTTTTCATATTGACATCTCGTAGAACTCCTCCTGGTCCTTTCCTGCCCCTCGGGTTCTGTCTCTTTCTTGGATTCCTTTAGTTTCCTTTCGCTGTGGGCAGTCCCTACCCCCGTGGCCCCCTCACCCTCCTGTCCAGGAGTCCTCCCCTCTTCTAACAATTCCCGAGTCCTTAATGAGGCCTGCAGCCCGGTGACTGGTTTCAGCGAGAGCTCGGAATCACGGGCCAGGCTTCTGCTAGCAGCTGCGTATCAGAAAGCCGCTCTGTTATTTTAATCTCCTCCACGCGCCCTGGACGTTCCTTATATAGCCATCCAAGCCTCGGACTCAAAAGTCTGCTTACATTTTTGACCCGTTCTCATTTCTCTTCTGCTCACAGACGTCCATTAACTCTGCCCCTGCGTGTGTTTCTCGCTGCCCTGCACTGTCTCCAGCCACTTTCCTCTTCCCGTGTCTCCCTCACCCGGCCAACAGCGGGCTGCTGAGTAGCGGCATTGCTTTGTTTAAAACACCAGACCGCTGCCCACTGTGCACACAGCACTTTAAGCCCTTGTCTCCCTACTCCTGTCTCTGTATGGGGCACTTCAAAGAGCTCATGGACAAATGGCATGCAAAGATAATGGGATTTTTCACAAACTCTTGGAAGCCCTCTCAGATCTCTCTCCACCTGATTGTCCATTGCACCTGAAGACACTTTGCTACTTTCTGCTTCCTTGTCTTTGCAGAACCGTTCCCCTGGTCTAGAAGGCCCAGGTCATTACCATCTCCATCGCCATCTCACCCGTGTGTGCTATATCTTTTCTCTCTACTGGCAACCCTCGTGCCATCTCTTCTATGGCATTTTTATCTTCCTCTGGATATTGGAACTAAGTGTATTCTTCCTCCGAGTCTCTGACAGCTGGCTGACCCTTCCATTACACGTATGGGGGACTTCGAAGAGTTGGTAGAGAAATCCCATTCTCTCTTCATTCTAGTTGTTCACACACTCGTGAAGCCCTTCGTATTTTATTCTCCTGGAACCAGTCCCTGCGCTTCCAGTGAGCTCCCGGGCAGTGCAAACACATCTCACTCCTAGGACTCCAGCTCACGCGTGCACAGGCTCATTCCACACACACATGTTTAAGCGTGGGTGTGCGATCAGTGGGTAGCTGCAGACAAGCTCTCGCAGTGGTACCCGGGTCTTAGTTGTCATTACTCAGGAAAAAACCCCAAAACAAAGCTCACTGCCAGCCAGTCGATTCCAACCCATAGTGACCCTCTACAACAGATCAGAGTTTCTCTGGGTTTATGAGATTTTAAATCTTTATGGGAGTAGGCAGCCTCATCTTTCTTCCATAGAGTGACTGGTGGGCTTGAACTACTAAGTCCTCCACCCAGAGCACATTTCAGACCAGATTAATACTGAGAAATGTTGGATGGTCCTTTGTACTGGACCTCGGCGTTCAGAGGTTGGATTTTCTGCGAATTCAATGAAATTGTACATTAATTTAGATGAGATTTAAATTGTTAATGTGTTTTTGTAGGGTTTTAAAGCTGCCAGCACAAATGGTACTCTATCTAGGTTTAAAAGCATATTAGCAGTTTGCAGTTTGGATAATAATCATACACTTTTGTTCTTTGACGTCTAGAGAATAGGCTTCCCCAATTTATGAGGCCTACCGCCCCCTTTTCAGGGGGAAAAAAATTACTCAGCCCACCCCTGGCAACTAACAACTTCGTACTGTGGCCCATGACCCAGAGGCCCTGGTTGCACAGTGAGTTACGTGCTGGGTCGCTAACCGAGAGATTGTCAGCTCACTGTCAAGCAGCCGCTTTGTAGAGAAAGGAAAGAACCCACAGGGGCACGTTCTACCCTGTCCTTCAGGGTTGCTGAGTCAGCATCGCCTTGTGTGGCATGAGTGAGTTTGTGCAGCACCCCGACTGCATCTTCCCACTCCCTCCAAGGGGCAGGGTCGCCCCCTTGGGAACCCAAGGACGACGTGGCCATATTAATGTCAGAGACTGCCTTTCGCAGACTAAATGTTTCCGCCTTTTTCTGTTTGTGCAAATCTCCATGATTTTATTTTCTCCCCTCTGCAGGCCTCTGCTATATGGGATCTTAGCTCATTTCTTGCACGAGTCTAAGGATGGCATCCGGAATGCATTTTTGAAAGGATCTTCTCCTCAGCTTCCAAGCCCCAATTTTAGCAGACAACAGAGTAGAAGAAAGCAAATAGGTGTGTGTTTTTTCTGTGCTTTTTAATGTATTTTTATCTTTGGCATTGTTTTGCTTGAGCTTTTGAATCATAGTTTAATTCCATTTGTACCAAGTATAGGAACCCGTGGTGGTGTGGGTTACACATGAGGCTGCTAACCACAGGGTCAGCAGTTTGAATCTATCAGCCTCTCCGAAGGAGACAAATGAGGCTTCCTACTGCTAGAAAGAGTGAAGCTCTCAGAAACCCTGGCATTTCTACTCTATCCTACAGGGTTGCTATGAGTCGAGATCAACTTGCTGGCAGTGAGTGAGTATAATTGTCTTGTTTTACATGTCACGGTGCATTTTGTAAAGAGACTCTCGAGGGAGGTGGGGCTAATGTCTGTGGACAACCTTCTGAGATGGCATTGCTACGCAGAAGTACTGGAAGCCCCGTCCCATGCATGTTTTGTGTGGGGCAGCTTGATTCACAGCATACGGAATGAATAGCTTTTCATCAAATTGTCACTTTCTTTTTCTCCAACACTGGCTGATCGTTACGATGTACTTTTACATGTTTTTGATTTTTTGCTTT